TAGACAGTGTGTTTCATTAAACTAAATCTAAACAATATCATAGAATGCTGAACAAGAGAGTCAGAAATAAACAATTTTAAACTTAAAAACACTACACTGTATTAAGTTAAATAAACTACAAGTCTGTTAGATAGACATTAATCTTTTACAAATAATCAAATACTCAATTTCTGACCTGTAAATCACGCTCAAATATCAGAAGTTTTTTACATGGAGAAAATTTATGAAAACTGATCAAAGCTGATTCAGTGTAATTTTGCACAAAAATATGTGTCAGAATGCACCAAATCAATTCAATTCTTAGGAATTTTCCTAGAGTAGAACCCTCTTAGACACCCCAAGGAAGGTATGGCACTATCACAGAGCAGTTGTTTTTTGAATCTCAATCCCAACATTTGTCCCCTATTTAGTCAATCTGTCCCCTCTTGGTACCCACAGTCTCAAGAAACTGGTGCTGTCACTACATATATTGAACCAATCTATCATGCCTCTGTTGGTGAACAACATTGTTTCTCAAATCACCTCTGTACCTCTTTAAATGAATCCCTTAGAAGTTCAAAACATATAGAAAATTTATGAACACTTATCAAAGCCGATTCTATGTAAATTTTTCAAGCCATATTTATTGAACCAATCAGTAAATGCCTCACTATTTAGCAAGATAGTTCCTGAGTCAAACCTGATCCCTTTTAAAGATCCATATAGTTAGGTTTATTATTTTATTGATATAAGACTTGAACAACATTTAGAAGTGAGGAGTTCCATAATGCTCATTCCATAATATTGCTTTGTGTCAGTGATAATTTATTGGTATTCACATTTTTCAACTCAGTATTCTTTCAGAGAGTTCACATAGCTAATATTAATTCAGAGGCAGCTCCACTAGACTTAGAGATTTCATTAGGTGTAGTTCATACTTTTTGTGAGTTTTTGTTTTAATTTAATAAGGCCTAAATTTATTAAAACCATTTGTGTACTAACATGACCTCATGCTTTTAGCTTTGATAGTCTGCTCTGTGATAAAAAATCGTGTTTTAATTTTGGAGATGAAAACTTCATTAATGATTGACTGTAAATTTGGCTGCATTAACCAGTCATGTTTCAACTGAAGCTCTACTGTTGATTTGGCTGTATTAACCAGTTATGTCTGACTAGAGTTCTAGACTGTAAATTTGGCTGTATTTACCAATTATATCTGACTAGTGTTCTAGACTGTTGATTTGGCTGCATTTACCAGTCATGTCTGACCATGCCTGACTAGAGCTCTAGACTGATGGGCTGTATTAACCAGTTATGTCTGACTAGAGTTCTAGACTGTAAATTTGGCTGTATTTACCAATTATATCTGACTAGAGCTCTAGACTGTTGATATGGTTTATTTACCAGTCATGTCTGACTAGAGCTTTAGACTGTTGATTTAGTTGTATTTACTAGTCATGTCTGACTCCTGACTAGAGCTCTAGACTGTTGATTTGGTTTTATTTACCAGTCATGTCTGACTAGAGCTGTAGACTGTTGATTTGTTTTTATTTACCAGTCATGTCTGACTAGAGCTTTTGACTGCTTGGATTTATGCGTTTACATTGTGGAATACTGGAAGAAAAATGAGTCATATCTTGTTAAGACAGTAGTGTAACGATGATTTCATTGACAGGCTGACCATCAGAGCGCCCTTTTCAGATTTTAGAGAGCACTAGTCATGGTGGGTCATATCCTGGAAAATTTTCTCATGTGGGAAGCCGGAGAACACATCTAACGTGTTTAGAAAGTGAAAGTAGACTGAATTTCTCTTGTTTAAGGCTGGAGGGATTATAAAACCTCAAACCCCTCCGTTGTTTACCCCCTGCAGTGTAGTTACCTATTCTAACATGTGTATGAAAATAAATAACAGTGAGTAACGCTAGAAATTCTACCACTGATTTTTAGAATTATCTCACTAGAGTTCACCTATCTTCCAGTCAGAAAGCTGATAAGTTGTTAAGTGTTTACCAGTTAGTAATGTGATAGGTCTAGTTGTTGAAGTTGGCTCACAGATAGTGAAATGTTTTAACAAAATAAACTGGTATGATAGGCTTGGTCATATCAAAATATCATAACTTTATCTCAAATATAACTTTATATTTACCTAATTATCTCCAAAATTACCCATTGCCAATATCACAGTGACATAAAAATACTGACTATAACCCCGTTTACATTACAAATATTATCCGTTCTGAGAACATGCATCTTAACAACTTGACATTTGTACAGTTTCTGTGAGCAAACTAATTTGCTTTCATCTGGGTTATTAGAAAGTCTATAATTAACTCTTTCGTGAAGAGTTCTCGGAACGCTCGAAATTGTAGTAGTGTTAACGGTAAAAATTTGGTGATTTTATCGTGTCCAGGTTTAGACCGAGAACAGAACATTTTGTAGCGTTCTAATTTAAACAGGGCTTTAGTTTTTGGTTAGTTTTCTTAGTTGAAAAACAGAAAAGTGTTCCAACGTGTTGTATGATAGGTAGTATGTGCTGAATATGGGAGTATGATACAATTTACATGGAACCTTGTCGTTGGGGTGTGGTGTGCTCCAGCACGCGAGAATTAAACCCTAGCCATTGACCTCTCTCAAAACCTTCTATAGTTAAGCAAAGATTGATTAATTTGCATCAAAAATGTGATTTGCACCTCAAAATTGTAAGAAATTAGTTTTCCAGGCATCTAATTTCCAAATTTTCATGGGGGAGGGTCCCCTATTCATAAAACTTGTGTCTCTACGAATGAAGGCCCGGCTTGCATCACCTCATCACAAAATCCAAGCCCCACAGGCAAAAAGTGAACCTTATAATTCAAATATTTAAAAAAAATGAATGGAGCTTTACACCTTACTTTTCTGCACCTGATTTTGCTATTGAATAAGAGAAATAAAGTGATACACACCTTGCACAGTTAAAATAGAATCCATAGATATACGCCCACAAGAATTCTCAGCCACAATTTCATATCTCCCAGAGTCTTTAATTGTCACAACTGGAATTTCCAACTTAGCCAAACGTCCATCATAAGATGAGCAATAATTCACATAATCTGGAATCGAAGATCCATTTCGGGTCCACATGATTTTAGGTTCTGGTGTTCCGATGACGTCACATTCGTAAACTAATGAGGTACCATCATTAAGCGTTCGATTGGTTAGTTTCGTCAAAAACATTGGCACCACATTGGAATCAGTTGACGAACTTGCTGAAAATAGAAATAATTTATGATAATCAGAAGTCAACAAAGAAAATTTAGAATTCAAGGGTGGAGAAAACATAACAAAAACACAGGGGAATAAAAATATACTGCATAACGAAACCCGGAATCCAAAACAAAATTTTGGCGAAAAATTGGTAGATACTAATGTGTTGAAATGTTATGTGCTGTTGTTATCAAACTAAAATATATTTCCTTCTGTTTCAAGTTATTAGAGACAAGTTTGATAAAAACATAAAAGCAGCAAAGAAACACTGTCCAATCTTCTTAATGCACTCATACAAACCTGGCCCTAGTCTAAACCAAACTTGACACCCACATGACTATTCTTACAATTAACTAAAAACATGGCCAGACCAACACCAGTCATTGTTTATTGGTCTAAGATACAGGTTCAGATAAATTCTTCTCACTAATTCTAAACATAGAATTGACCACAGACAAACACAGAATCAACTAACTAAATACTACATTTTTCAAGGCCAGATGAGCATGTTCACAATCTATAAATTCAATTCCAATGCCTACAAAATAGCTTTCAAGTTTACAATCTTAAAATGTCATTCAATTACAGGTAGCGATATCAGGATAGGCCTACTGTTTTCAATGTCAGACAGTGGCGGAGTGAAGGGGGATGAAATATCTGAGATTGCCCAAATTTCTGACCTAGTTATGAGATCTTTGCCCCAAAAACTTGCTTTCAGGGCTGCCCACTCTGCCCTCCCTTTGGCTCTGCCACTGATGCCAGATGAGCCTATTCACTGTCTATAGATTATATATCATTGCTTTCAAACAAGTTTTCATAACTAATAATCAAAAGAAAGTCTATATGTCCGAAACTATTTGATAATTAGGAAGTGCCTACTGTATTTCATAACAAAAAGTTTAACGATTCAAAAACTATACTTATCTTATGTTCAAACACAAATCTATAATAAAGTAAACCACATCAAAACTTACATTTCACAGAGCCTTATTATTGTGAATTGTAACAGAAGTTAAAAACCATTTCAACTCATCTTAACTCCAAATAAAAACCAAACAACACAAAACACTATCAGTAGCCTACTGGAGCTAAAAGTCTGTAGAATTAAAGAGGCACTATAAAGCAGTATGAAACCCAACCCATCTGTTAACTTACAGTACTGAATTTTCATTAGAAAAGGTGCAGTAAATGGAATTTTGTGGGAATGTTTTCAGTCTTAGTCAGTATCTTCATTTATCAGAAACATGAGGTGTGCAATCAGGTAAATTTTGCCAAGATATCCATATTAACTACCTCTTTTTCAATTCCAAACTGTCAAAAAATCGTGAAATACACTGTCAGTATCTTCATTTATAAGATATGAATTCAAAAGTGGAGAAAACAAAATACACACGGGAATAAAAATATAAACCGCAAAACGAAGTCGGGAATCCAAAACAATATATTGGCGAAACATTGATAGCAGATAATGTGTTGAAACGAATAAATGATATTCATATTAACCAAATCATTTTAGATTTCCAATTGTTGAAAGATATTTATTGGACAGTCTGTAGCAAACAGGACCTTGATTTAGTGTCCCATCTCACCAACAACAAACCGTACAACCTGTATTATTAAGAAATGAATGAATTGGGATTTTACACCCAACTTAATTGTCTTTGTTTCAAGGAGTAAACTGACATATATCTATCAAAATCACAATCCATAAGTTCCAATCACAAGGAATTAAACTGACATATATCTATCAAAATCACAATCCATAAGTTCCAATCACAAGGAATTAAACTGACATATATCTATCAAAATCACAATCCATAAGTTCCAATCACAAGGAATTAAACTGACATATATCTATCAAAATCACTATACTTAAGTGAAAGTCTAAGGCCCTTCACGATTACCAAAACTCCAAAACCGGTTTGGTACATCAGATTCGTGTTGTAAAGGAGTGAAACAGATTTGAAAAGCAAGGCTAATTCAAAATTATAAGTGCCCTATGAATGACGCCATCTTGAATCCGACAAATCTGCCCTAGGAGGCGGATTCACAGATTCCAAATCCGGATTCAGATTCAGGGCAAACCGTTGTAATTGAGTGACACAGATTCTGAATCCAGTTTCGGTTGTAAACGAGTAGGGCCTAAATGATTTTAATTTAATTAAAAATTTAATTAAAATTTTACCTTCTTTAGTCAAATATTACAATTTTTTTATTTGTTTTTTCTTTGAAATAAACTGAACTGCAATTTCAGAGCCAAATTCCACGTTCAAATTACACCCTCTATATTGGCTTACAGCTATAACTATAAGAATTTGAGAACACAACTCCCCCTGGTTAACATTAAATAGAGTAAAGATAAACACATGAGAATTATTGAACATGTCTGATAATTAGTACCATATTCTACAGTCAAAACAAAATTCCTTTTACTACTTCTATAACTTAATTATAACTTATAATTCAGACATAATAACTCCTTTACACCCTCTAGGTTGGCATAACACTGTCTTATACTTTATATACTCATTCAATTATAACTTAAAACTGCAATTAATCACACTTCTTACAACCTCTAGGTTGGCTAGGGTTAGGGTTAGGTTGCCTTAACACAGTCCCTTAACATTTATATACTCATTTACTTATAACAGCAATTAGTCATTCTCCTTACAACCTATAGGTTGGCTTAACACTGTCTCATACCACTGTTATACTCATTTAATTAAAACTTAATACTCAGAAATTACATATTCCCTTACACCCTCTTAGTTGGCTTAACAATGATTTTAATTTTAGTTAAAAATTAAATTAAAATTCTACCTTCTTTAGTCAAATATTACAATTTTTTAATCTATTTTTTTCTTTGAAATAAACTGAACTGCAATTTCAGAGCCAAATTCCACGTTCAAATTACACCCTCTATATTGGCTTACAGCTATAACTATAAGAATTTGAGAACACAACTCCCCCTGGTTAACATTAAATAGAGTAAAGGTAAAGTACCTTATTGCCTAACAGACAACAATCCAACAGGCTGAAGACTGAGCTATTCCACTGTCTATTCAACAGGCTGAAGACTGAGCTATTCCACTGTCTATCCAACAGGCTGAAGACTGAGCTATTCCACTGTCTATTCAACAGACTGAAGACTGAGCTATTCCACTGTCTATCCAACAGGCTGAAGACTGAGCTATTCCACTGTCTATCCAACAGGCTGAAGACTGAGCTATTCCACTGTCTATCCAACAGGCTGAAGACTGAGCTATTCCACTGTCTATCCAACAGGCTGAAGACTGAGCTATTCCACTGTCTATCCAACAGACTGAAGACTGAGCTATTCCACTGTCTATTCAACAGACTGAAGACTGAGCTATTCCACTGTCTATCCAACAGGCTGAAGACTGAGCTATTCCACTGTCTATCCAACAGGCTGAAGACTGAGCTATTCCACTGTCTATCCAACAGGCTGAAGACTGAGCTATTCCACTGTCTATTCAACAGACTGAAGACTGAGCTATTCCACTGTCTAT